GAGCATGGAGCTGTGCATAATGTGAATGAGTTTTAACGATAAGGACAAAATAAAGGGTAAAGTGAATAGTACTAGGATTGACTTTTTAGTGTTAAAATGTGGTTTTTTGTTAAAGTGAACAGTACTGGAAGCTTTTCGTTAAAGTTCCTAATAAAAAAAAAGTAAGGAGTTGTGCATAATTAAACTAGGGTTAATGGATTTTTAAATGATAGTCTCGGAAATAAAAAAAAGTAAGTAAGAGTATAATAGGAAGAGCAAATGCATTCCCGATTCCCTCACCCTCTTGGATATCAATTACCACATCCATAGAGGGAGTCCAACTCCTCCAATCCCAAGAATTGAATTCCATCGTGTGGGTCCCACACTTTTGATTCCTCCCAATTTTAATAAACACAAGTATAATCCGTAATTGGAATCGGATTCCTTATTCTCATTCTAATTACGAGTTAGTAAACACGTCCTAAGTTTCGAATATCCATCTTTTGTGTTGGTGTAAAAATAAAATAAAATAGAACTACTTTTTTTTTAGGGAAAAAATAGAACTACTTTAGATTAGAACATACATGGAAAAAGAAATAAAAAGAAGAAGGAAAAGGCAAAGGAAGATGCCGATTGGAAAATGGACTCCAATGCCTCCAACTTTATATTTTTTATTGGAATATTTGAAAATAGAGTCTCTCTCGTTTTCTTAAAGAAACAAACAAAAGAAGATACTTACCTTTTATCCTTTGCTTAAAGTCGAATCACCCAATTTGTCCTTTTAATCGACGTGAGTTCCACAGGCACTCATGCAACTCCCCTTTTGGGTTTGTTTAGACCAAATTCAATCTTGGGTTAAATGCTATTTTTTAGATTTTATTCCCCCTTCAAACTCAACTCAACACATGCTAAATATGTGAGCTAAAAGCTAAAAGTCAAACAAAAGCCAAATTTTCCTTAGGATTTAGCCCAGAAAATGGTGTGGGTACCATCAACGGGACCCCACCCACATGGGCATGTCTTCCATGATTTATTGAATTCAATGGCTAAGACCAAATATAATCAAATCTAACGGTAAAAGATCTAACAGTCCAAATTTAAATCCAACGGCTAAAATAATTAAAATTTTAATTTAACTCAAAATTCACCCAAATTTAGTGATTTTTCAATATTTATCGGAATTTAAATATTTGTAGATTAAAATGTTCATAAAATTAAATTATGATAGTTTACATATTTTTTTTTAAATTACTTTAAAAGAAAAAATTAGCCAAAAATTATTCTTTAATAATCTCAGGCTAAAAATTTCACATCCCCACCTAGGGCGGACCACTTCCTAGGCCCGCTCCACCATTGTAGCACGATATTGTCCGCTTTGGGTCCCGACCACGCCCTCACGGTTTTATTTCTGGGAACTCACGAGCAACTTCCCAGTGAGTCACCCATCATGAGAGTGCTCTGGCCACCTTCTTGCTTAACTTCGGAGTTTCGACGGAACTCGAAGCTATTGAGCTCCCAAAAGGCCTCGTGCTAGGTAGGGATGGGAATATACATTTAAGGATCACTCCCCTGGACGATGTGGGATGTAACAATCCACCCCCCTTAAGGGCCCGACGTCTTTGTTGGCACACTTCCGGCCAGGGATTGACTTTGATACCATTCAGATAAGCATCAATGTAAACCTCACAATTACCACTATCATCTAGAAGTGCTAGAACAGGTGCATGAGTGAGATAGTACTTCAGCTACTAGAAACATTGCTCACATTTATTATCCCACTCAAACTTAACATCCTTTCGAGTCAACCTCATCAATGGCAAGGCAATCATTGAAAAATCCTTAACGAACCATCTATAATAGCCTGCTAGGCCAAGAAAACTCTGTACCTCAATGACGGTTCGAGGTTGCTCCCAATTCTCTACAGCTGCCACTTTCTGAGAATCCACTTGAATGCCTTGAGCAGAAATGACATATCCCAAAAATGCCACTTGATTCAACCAAAATTCACATTTGCTAAACTTAGCGTATAGTTGGTGTTCCCTCAAACTGCTCAACACCAACTTCAGATGTCTATCATGCTCAGCCTTAGACTTAGAGTATACCAAAATATCATCAATGAAGACAATAACAAACATGTCCAAATATGGCTGAAATACTCAATTCATCAAGTCCATAAAAGCTGCTGGTGCATTAGTAATCCGAATGGCATCACAAGAAACTCATAATGACCATATTGAGTCCTGAATGCAGTTTTAGAGACATCTTCATTTTTAATCTTCAACTGGTAGTAACCTGACCTCAAATCGATCTTAGAAAATACACATGCACCTCTGAGTTGATCAAATAAATCATCTATACGAGGCAATGGATAACAGTTCTTAATGGTTACCTAATTCAGTTGCCTGTAATCAATGCACAGCCTTAAAGTTCCATCTTTCTTCCTCACAAATAAAACTGGAGCTCCCCAAGGTGAAGTACTAGGCTGAATAAAACCTTTATTCACTAACTCTTGCAACTGAACTTTCAATTCATTTAATTCAGCAGGAGCCATTCTATAAGGAGTTAAGGATATGGGATTCGTACCTGGAAGCAAATCAATAACAAACTCCACATCTCTATCTGGCGGCAATTCAGGCAAATCCTCAGGGAATACATTCGGAAAATATCTAACCACACGAACATCCTCTGCACTACTAGGAGCATCATCATTCAATACCACATGAGCCAAATATCCCTGACAACCTTTCGACAACAATCTCTTTGCTTTCATGGCTGAAATAATGTCATATCTCACCCCACTAGGCTCTCATGCAAATGTAATTTCAGGTGGATCCGGTGCTCCCTTATGTCGCAGGTGTAATATTAGGCATTTTGGGAAGCGTAGGAGAGTCAGTAGTGGATGCTTCACTTGTGGTCAGATGGGTCATAGGGCTGCTCAATGCCCTCAGAGTCAGCAGAGACCCCAACAACCTTCATTCTCACCACCTGCACCGACCCAACAAGCTTCAGGATCTGGTGGTTATACTCAGACTGGACGAGGAGGTGCCTACCACTATCAGGGCGACGCCGCTCCTTACACCTCAGGACAACAACAGTACTCTCAGGATCCTCAATATCATAGTGGGTACCCTCAGTATCAGCGAGGATCTATGTCTTATCAGCCACATTCAGCCGGAGGATCTCAGTGGTACCAAGGCGGACAGCCCCAGTAGGGAGAGATTGCTGCTAGTAGTGCAGGATCTTCGAGGCAGTCGGGTCAGCAGAGGCAGGGACGTGGTATTCATGCCAACATAGGTCGCAGTGGACGACAGCAGAATCAGGGGTGTATCCACAACATGTCACTACAAGATGCCCAGAATAATCCAGATTTAATAATGGGTACGTTAAATATTCTTGGTCATTTTGCTAGAGTATTGATTGATTGTGGTGCTACACATTCTGTTATTTCTCATACATTTGCTCAAGTGACGCAACCCCATCCTACACCTCTAGAATATAATTTAGAATTTTCCATGCCTAGAAGGGATAGATGTTTTGTGGATCAGGTATATCCAGGATGTCCAATGATAGTAGATGAAGTTATTATGTCGACTAATCTTATGTCGTTGGATATTATGGATTTTGATGTGATTTTGGGCACTGATTGGTTGCACTATAATTGTGCCAAGATAGATTGTTATGGAAGGACAATCACATTACCAATTGTAAGATCCCACCTTGCCCAGGGGAGTGATCCTTATATGTATATTCTCATCCCTACCTAGCATGAGGCCTTTTGGGAGCTCACTGGCTTCGGGTTCCATCGGAACTCCGAAGTTAAACGAGTAGAGCGCGAGAGCAATCCCATGATGGGTGACTCATTGGGAAGTTCTCGTGTGAGTTCCCAGAAACAAAACCGTGAGGGCGTAATTGGGGCCCAAAGCGGACAATATCGTGCTACGGTGGTGGAGCGGGTCCGGGATGTGGTGGACCTCGGGTAGGTATGTGACAAAAAAATTTAGGCCATAAGGGTTGGATTAGAAAAGTTGTTTATGGGCTAAAACCTAAGTGCCTGTTTGGTATCCTATTTGAAATTTTTTATCATTTCTCATAACATTTTTTAAAAACATTTCTTGAAAACAATTTTCTTTAAGACTCAAAAACTTGATTGGTTTGTAATTTAATTTTTTTTTAAATCTTACTATTTAAACTAGACAAAGAGATCTAAAAAGAGAGGTAGCAAGAAAGGGAGAAAGAGAAGAGAAGAGGAAATAAATTAAGAGATGATTGAAGAAAAGAGAAAGAAGAGAGGTTCGGATGAGATAGAGAGGAATAGGAGTGAGAGAAAGAACCAAAAGAATGAAGAGAGCAGATTGGAAGAAAGACGAAAAATGTTATAAAAAAAAGAGAAGAGAGAAAGAAGAAAAGAGAGATAGATTTGGAGTAAGAGGGGAGGAGGAAGAGAAAAGAAATGAGTGAGTTTAATCTAAAAAGTCACTTTTTATGTTTTTAAATAGTAGCCTATATTTTTTAGTTAATCTTGAATTTAGTTTTTTAAAATAGTTCTACCAAACAAATTTTTAAGGCCTAAAATTTGAAAATTGTTTTTGAGTTTAAAAAGTTGGATTCAAGTAAAATACCAAACAAATCCTAAATTTTTTAGGCTAAAAATTTTAGGTTTTAACCTAAGGATTGGAGGTCTTAGGGTGCTTTTCAACAATATTGAAAAACGTTTGTGTCAATATTTGACAACAAAAAATTGGAAGTAATTTAAGATAAAAAACATATCAAAGTCTATTTCACTAAGAGTTTTTTTCTTAATTTTTTTATTTACACCACTACCTATTTCATGAAGCATTTTGTCACGCACCTAGCGGGAACCTGCTAAGCTCTGTCGACAACTACAAAGACCTGTTGAGATTTGTCTGAACCTAGCCACAATTACCATTTACTGCGAGGAAAAGAAATCACAAGCTCTGAAACAATAACATCCAATCCCACATATTCGGCTCAAAATATACGAAAGGAATATGAACTCAATGTAACGAGGAACACGCAACGGAATTTCAATTAAATATAAAGGAGAAAAAGACGAATTAGTTGTATACCGTCAAAATTATGATCGAACCATTTCGGTCAACACATGGTACATACAACAATTAAGCAAAATATTTGTAGACCGTAGAAGATTCAGATCCAAGCAGTTGGATCCATATACGGGCACCAATTAAAGGCCGTTACCTTTCTTTTCCTATCAATTGCAATAAAGTCTAATCACCGAGTCTGCGCCGCTAGTGAATAACCATGGCTGCCTTGGATGGAACTTACAGTCCAATACACCTGCATACCAGTCAGGGAAAACAAAGATTTAGCTTTTATATAAAAGTTTTGAATGACGCTATGATACTGAGTTGACTATGCATTTGGCCTGCAACTATGCATGTTTTTCTCCTAACCCCTTAGCATTTTATCATATCTGAATTCTTGAGAAGGAGCCTTGAACACATAATACATTCTAAAAACATTCAAAGCCCATGGAAATATGTTTACGAAGGTAATCCGATGCCCAGCTTCAATAATCTTTCCGCACATGCACTAGCAGCATTCTATTATCTTTGTTAAACCACCCAACAGGACATAAAATAAAGAAAACTATAGGTCGCACCTCTCCCATTTGAGCTTGTATGACCTCGGAGTATTTCCAATGGAACAATAAGAGGGTTCTGGTTAAGATCTGAATAAACCATTCCATGAAAAACATAAGCAGTGCAGTCATCAGAGCATGTAGCAAACAGCGGGTACAAACGATGGAAAGATACATTGTTGATGTCCTTCTGATGCAACCTGATAAGTTTCAAAATGTCAGAAAAATATATGCATCCCCAGTAACAAGGCAAATGCTGAATAAAGTTGGTTTGGTGTTTGTCAAATAGTTAATGACTCGTCATATAGTATTAGACCTATCAAACAAATAACATCTTCCAAAAACCTGTGCACTCTGTGGGGTATATCAAAGTCTGTAACACTGGAAGTGAAGTAAAGCCAGCAGTTTGCAGGAAAGTATTATCCCCCTTCCTAAAAATACTAATCATCATAATAGTTTGCATCATCTACAAAATAAATGTGAAACATACTTGAGAGTTTTGTAAGGTTTAGATGAAAGGTCCATGTCGAACCAACATAATTTTCCTTCTCTGCTTCCCACAATTATATGATCACCTACATTAACAGTAAAATCCAGATATATCACAGTACAATTCGAGTACAACTGTAAAGAAGACGAGACAAACCAATTGAGTTGTACATAGTGCATAGAAATAGTGAAAATTAATGAATAATTAAAAATCTACCAGAAGGATGAACTGCAATAGAGGAGACTTCACGAAGTCCAGTCTCAAGCTTTTTGACAAGTTTTCCATCCTTCACCAGATCATAAACACGAATAATCTTTTTTGTTGAAATGAAGAAGAAAGACCTTGTAGGATGGAAAACTGAAGTAACTGCAACCCCATGCAACTTGAATGAAAGTGTCTGGGTAAACTTCTTAGAGAGCTTGTGTATAAAAATAGCTCTTGATTCACGTAAAGCCAAAGTCAAGAAAACCAAGGAGATGATAACTAACTTCGTATATCTTCATCTTTTTTTTGTATTACAATAAATTATTAACTTAATTGCAAATGATAATATAAAGAGAGAGCATCATGCAAAAAGGATATCCGCTGGCATCACTGTTGAAAGGTAGTCTCCTTTACGATGCCACTCTACTGAAGCCACGGTCTACAGGACCAACAAAGAAAACAGTTAAGAATCTTCATAGAAGACCATCCTTCCAATCTTGACTTAGAGCTAAGACACTCGTATACTCGAACCACCACAAATAAATTGATGAAGGAAAAGGCCAATGTACCTTGGAATGCCTTAATCTGATTCCCTCAAGTTTATCATCATGAAGCCAGCTTACACTGGATGCTGTTGTGCCCATATAAGCAATATGTTTTGCAAAGGTTAGATGTCATTCATTTGATAAATGATATTCAAGGCACTAACAATCTCACACTGACCAGAGTCGTCAGGCATGGGCATCTCAACAGAGAGAAGTTCTTTAGTTCTTTTCTGTACTTCTTCCGTCCCACAACCAGGGTTCAAAAGAAGTATGTCTTGTCCCCTAAAAAGATTGCGATAGTCATTTTACACATTCAAGTAACAAGATCCCCAGTGAAATAAATGTAAAGCAAAAATGAAACCAAAATATATTGAATGCATCCTTACGCCGAGACAGCCACTATAGAATGCTCAGGGTTAGGATTCCAAGCCACATATTTGACGGCTTCACCAATATCGCAGATTTTGACACATCTACCAGTTTCAACCTCCCAAATACGCAAAGTTCCATCCAATGAACCTGTAAGAACCACAGCAGATGATGAGATTTACATCCAATTTCAATTTCCTAACTGAAAGTAACAGAGAATTAAGCATGCCATTGATACCTGATGCAATCCACTGCCCTGAAGCTTCTACAGAGACTGATGTAACTGCATCCTCGTGGCCTCTATACTCAAGATAACATGCTACAGGGTAAGGCTTAAGTTCAGTTCGGCTTGGTAGCTTGGGCTTGAGAGATTCAGGGTCTATATTAAGCTGAAACATATAAATGATTCGTTGTGAATAAATTTAATCATTGCCCTCATATGACTAGAAGACCAGAATTAGATTGTACATTTTGAAAGATCTTGCAAAACTATCAAAACCTGACCCAATAATCACCAGGGAATCTTTCCCTCAAACAGGACTTTTCACTTACACGTTTCTTTCGGACTCTAGGGCACAAATATAGATCCAAACATCTCTCAAAGCATTCCTTCACAGCATTCTCATATGCAGGGATGCTTCTCATATTTGCAAACCTAACCAATATGATAATGGAGTGCGTGTTAGAAGTTGAACAATCATGGAGAGTAACAAATTAACATTAGTCCAAATTTCAATTCACAATCCATATTACCTTTTAGGTATAAATTTAGGACGGTCTTCTTCATACATTAACTGGTAAGAGTTGACCTCTTCTTGTGTTGGGATGTATTCTAAAGATGGATTGAAGGACTCCTCATGGCCTAAAAGAAAATTCCAATTTTAAGAGATCCATCAAGTTCCAAGATATTTCATGCAACCAAAAAGGAATTGCTCTCTATCTGATTTTTTTACAATCCTCAGAATGTGAATGAAAACTAATACCAGGCAACTTTGGCTTTGGTGCAGGAATGTAAGTTAGATGGTTATTCTTTTCCGTTGAATTAGAGTCATCTTCCCACAATGGATAAACACTTTCTTCATCTTCTTCTTCCTCTTTAGACTTTTTAGGCTTAATTAAACCCTTGCGAATGGCCAACTTAATCTTATTAACCTGTAGAGTTATCAAAAGAAGTTCAGAGCATGTAACACGAAGCCATCTTAAACTGGCAGAAAAAAGTCTGCTGGACTGAAAATAAAATAAAACTAAGGGAAAGGAAAAAGAAAGAAAGCACACAACAGGAGCAACACATTTAACATGCCTTACCAGTTTACTTTCTGATTTTGAAGGAATGAATCGTCTCTTGGGTTCAGGTGCATTTGACAGTGGATGCTTGGAGTCATCCCATTTAAACCAATCAACATACGGCTGCACTTGAAACATGGGGAATTTCACTTCAACTTTAATAAGAAATTCATTTGTATCAATAGAAGTATCATATTAATTAGAACCGGATAATTAGGATTTACAGACCGCATATGGATCAAAGTCACCATGTGGAGCCTTTCCTTCAAGTAGTCTACTAATCGATTTGATATCTTCTTTTGTCAGTTCTACTTCCTCATCGTTATATTCATCATAAATTTTGCGCCTGAATAGTAACAAAGCATACTAGAGTCACAAAAAAGAACATTCAAACATTCAAAACAAGAAGAAAAGGTAACAGAATAGATAATCAAACAATATACAAGACAGATGATCAAAAAACCATTTACTGTTTTAAACCATCTCTCATGATTGGGAAGGCTGAAGTGCGACCCAAGGTACAAGTCTTAGTCTGGACAACTTCTCATGCGAGTTTAATACTTGTGATTTCATTAAGAGAAGGAGGAACACTAGCTTGCTTGTCTGCATGCCAGTTGTAAATTCAGGCAGAAAGTGCAGAGCACTTTTTCCAGAATCAGTCTATGTTAGAAAAAATCACTGTGTTTTAGTTTGTGGTGAGAATTCAGTATGAGGATGCTGAGAAGGTGGATTTTCTCCGCCATAGAGTATGTTTCTGGGCATGTATATGGGCTTGGGTCTTTATAGAGTTCCAGAGAATTCCATACTTAGTAATAATTTCGGGTTGGAAGGCCACTGTTACTTAGCATTTTGATGTGATTGTATTATTAACTAATTGGCTGATAAAGAGATGTTCTATATTCGGTGGACATCTTGTTCTCTTTGAAACTATGAAAACTGGTTTCCAAACCAAAACAATAACTGAAAAAAGAAATGCAACATAGAAAATGGAGCATGTTACACTATATTCACCAAAATTCTACACTTAAACTTGCATGGAAATAGTTGATATTTAACATCTATCCTTTAAATAATTGATGGCTATCATGTTAGAGATAAAAGCGCACCAGTTCTTTGAATCGTCAGCACTAGCAAGAAAGGATTGCAACTTATCTTCTTTTTCCTTCTTCTTTATCTTCTTCCCTTTAATGTCATAACCAATATGTTTCTCATCCCGATACCACTCCAAGGGAACATCACCAACAGTATTTCGAGGAACCACCTATTAAAAACAGAAAAAAGGATGAAAAAGTCACTCCTTTCAGTGAATTCAGATAACCATACCATAACAAAATCACATGTAATTGTCAATAGACAACAACAACAGACCTCATCCTCAGATGAATCACTCTCCTCAACTCCCTCACCAAGTTCAGAGCTATCACTTTCATCATCATCATCACCAGAATCACTGGCCGCGCCATCATTGTCGCTTGTGTTGATAACACCCTGCCATGGTTATACTTGACAATATTAACACACACGCACACTCTCCAAACAACAAACTCGTTGGATCAAACCGGCGTCACTTTTCTACAAAACCATGAAAATTATACAAAACAACAGATGACATGGCATGGAAAATTATATCCTTCATCTTTAAACTCTTCTTTTTCTACGTATTTGCAGTTACCTCATCTCCAGAGGAATCACTCTCTTCGCCTTCTGAGTCCGAGTCTCTGATTGACGGATAATCCTCCGAATCCGATCCTTCCCCATCTGACATATCCTTGATTCTCATTGCATACAAAACCCAGTACTTGAAACAAAACAAAAAATAGAAAAATGTTAGGTTCTGTTGAAAAAATTTCAAAAAATATCCGCAAAAATATTAAAATTTCGACCCCCTCTGCAAAATTTCATGTATTCCAACAGCTATACTATCTCCATTCGATCTCAGCCAGTATTTAAATAATTGAATTTTCATATGAGAACCTAATGAAATTAAACCCTAAACAACGAAAAAAATCAAGTTTGTAGAAGAAATAAGCAGTGGGAATACATACAAATGTTTCCCAATGGCAGAGGCGGGATTCGAATTTGGGCAGGCTGATGAACTTGGAAGCTCCAAGACTAGAGGGACTGAGGAAGGCGACGCTCCTGAGGCGCGAGCGGAGTGCAGGAACGCTTATAACTAAAAATTATTATTTTTCCTTTTTCTTTGGGGGGTTTAGGGTTTAGGACGGGCCCGTGTGGCTTGTGTATGTTGTGGGAGGATATCAAAAAGTAAAAATGTATCGCTGTGCTAAAAAATAAAAAATTATCCCATAATATTGGTAAATTATATGTCCTATACTAATTTATTGCCCTCACTCATTACGTGTAAATATATCACTCTCCTCTTTAAAAATTGGTAGGATCACATGAAAAAGCACTGATATAAGAAAATTAGTGTTACAAATGCTAGACTTATAAACATAAAAAGTAATGTTAAATAGAAAATACAAACGCATCATAGATGCAATTAATTAGTGCTGACAGTCCCACATCTCTCCAGAAAGAAATAAAATTAAAATGCGTATACGATAAGCAAAAACATTAGCCCCCGGCAGATGAGTGATAGTTATTTGGTGTTTTTGGGAGATGATTCGGATGGGCTAAATGACACACCCGATCGAGGTTAAGGCATGCTGGCCGTCACGTGAGAGTGATGTAGCCAGGTGCACAGTGTGGAAGCGATAAAGATAGCAAATATACGAATAATTAAAAACCATATTACTAAAGTGCACTACTAAACAAAAGTGATAGGAGTTAATTACAACAGTGAACACTCCTAATTAGAGCATAAAGTCTAGGTTCAGTCTAGTAGGACAAGTACTAGTTACACAGTACCAGGTATGTCCTACTATTATTCAAATAGGTCATAAGTGCCGATGATCCCGAGCCACCGACAGCAAGCTTACTTAAAACCTGGAGGGGCCCAAAATAGAAAACGTGAGTGGGCAAAAACAAATGTTTTACAAATTCATTTCATTTATCAATATACTAACCTCTCGCTGTAAAACATGTAAAGTTTTCCCAGAATCAAGATATAAGCATATATATATATATATATATATATATATATATATATATATATATATATATATATATATCTGAAATCATATCAATTCAGTTCATGCTTCACATAATCATATTCATATGTATGCCATACCAAAATATAACAAAGTAAACAATCCTGGTAAAAATAATTTCATAGAAATGTGATACGTTAGCTGTAACTCATGTGGTAGTTTGTACGGCTGAATTCATAGCTCAAACTCAATCTAACCGGAGTCACTACTATGACCTATACGACAATATACTGCACATAAGTCGGAACCACTGAAAAGGGTCTGTACGACAAGATTGGGTGAAATATAATTATGCTCAATTCTATTCTCTCATAATAGCCGGGCGATAAATCGCTAATCACCTACGAGTCGGAACCATAAATAAAGTCAGTACGACAAGACTGTGCACTTAAATTGGATCCAATATGAGCATATAGTGTGGGAGGTGACGTAAATAAACAAGCATGTACTTCTCATCTCTGGCTAAATCACAATCATCCTAGGTGCAACTTTAAGAGCTCAACATTACTTAATCACACATCGCATATCACATCATCGATGATTCACATAACCAAACATAACTTACTTGAACTCACCTGTGCCTCCACAACACCACATTTATATATATATGCAACCATGCAATGCATATTCAAATTATAGAAGCATTTGGCATATTATTTCAAAGCATACTTTCCTTAAAAAATGCATTTCTGGGAAATATATCAAGTATATAAATATATACTGAAAACAAAAACCCACTCACTGATATGTCGAAGGGTCGTAGCTCCCGAGTCGCCCGTGGATACGCTCATCCTCGGGATAAGCTTCACCTATATGCGAATCAACTATAAAAACGTTATTTTTAAAGCATATAGGAAATACTAGCTAATAACTTCTCATAGATTGCCCAAAATGGGTATATGAATATACCACAGTGATCTACACAACCCCAGGATCATCCCTATATTTTTTGGATTATTTTTGGACCTCCCACGAGCCGGCAAGGGCACGGCAAAACGCGCCCCCACGCGCGGCCCAAACCTGACGGATTCCCAAACCACCGTTAGGGAATATTCTGTTAAACCTAACAGATTCCGTTACATTTGACTGACGGCGTGAGAATATTTGGTCAGACTTGACGAACTATTCTTCCATCTCCTACCTCTAGCTCCGGCAATCGTCGCCGGCGCCCGAAACTGGGCAAATTTTCCAACTTCTTATCTAGCTCATTTCTACACCATTTTTCATGCAATTACCATCAAAATGAAGTTTAAGAGGTAGAGAATTGCGTTATACCTCTTTCACACCTCGATTCACGTGAAATTACGTCGGAGAAACCCTCGAACTTCGACGACCTCTGCAAAGCTCTGTTTTCGAGCCTCCCGTGGTCCAAATCCTACCAACGATGCACTCCGAGCATCGTGAGGACCTCCTTAAGCTCACTGTGGTCCTAAAATTCACAAAAACTCAAGGGTTTAAAAGTTGATGAATAGTGCCCAAGTCAAAGGTCCACTTTCCGGGGTTTTCTGACGTCCAAAATCATTCCTATTTATGCCAAATCAAGCAAGAGGACTAAGAGATTACCTTTTAAGCCTTAGAACGGCTTGAAACCTCCATGAACTGGTTTGGTGTACTGTACACCCATGGCTCTCTTTCAAACTAGGGTTTCTCGAAGGTTTCCTCGCTAAAAACGGGTACCATTCGACTCGTAAGGATCCTAGGAACACATTGGAGACCTTAGAACCTTCGATCCGTGCAGATTTTGGGTTGTTTGTGTGTGTCCGTACGAGTAAGAGAGAGGGAGAGTGTGAACCGAGAAGGAGAGAGAGAGAGAGAGATGTCCACGGGATAGAGAGAGAGAACGTATGTGTGTGGTCCAAACATGCACACTAATCACAATTCTTTAAGCTTTTAATTCTAATTAGGTCCAATTAGTTAGGAATAGAACCAATTGACCCAATTTCTTCATTCGAAACACAACACACATCCAACGCTCAAGGATAAATCTGTCTTTTCACAATCACGATAATTAATCTTCGGGACAGGCTGTGACACTAAAAGTGTTTTGGGACAACCAATTACTTCTGACTACATTAAGCCAAAAAAAAAAAAATTAAAGTGTTTATAAATTATTGAAGCATTTCATGGAGAAACACTTCCTAGTACTTTTTAGAAATCACTTGAATATTTTCATATTTATAATATAAGCATGTAAAAGCACTTATCCATTGTGTGACTTAGCTGAATTCCCTCTCCCTTTAAAAAAAAAAGCACTTTATGAACAGAAGTGTTGTATAGAGAAACACGTAGTAGTCCCATGGTGCCAAATTTGACGGGCTCACCAGATAGAAAAGTAACTGGCCCAAGATGTTCTATTTTCAAAACTTAGAAAGAAAAAGAAAAAGACGCCGGTTGAGCTCAATCTCGAACTGTAAATTCACATATAATCTAAACATGTCTTGTTTGCAGTTATTTTGCACTTAACCGCTTACACAGCGACATCAGTTCACACAATGTACCCATCCCGTCCCTCTCTCCTTGCGTGAACAGTCTTGCACCTCTACTCTCCAAATTTCTGGGCTCGTCCAGCCATAGACTTGTCTCATCCTCGTCGGACAGCCTTCAAAATGCAGGCCACCCGCTACCCAGGTGAGCGGATCAAAGTCAGAAAGTCTCACACCACCGCTGGTTTCGAGCCTTTTTTCGGCCTTTCCAGCTATTTTTCGACGACGACTCGATGAATAAATTTATTGCTTTTTATGGAATTTTTATTCCCTATGGTTTTAGTCGTTGAGGTCTGAATTTTAAATACTGCTCTGTTTAGTTGCTCGGAAAGTAGAGGAAAATTCAAAGAAGAAAACGAAATTATGTTGTTTCCTGTAAAATCACTTAACCATATAATCAATTTTCGAAATTCAGATTAATGGGATTTAGCATGCTAAATATTACATGATTACTAATTGGATAGCTGAAAATCATGAACAAAGTCAAATTTCATAAACTTGAAAACTGTTATAATTTAGGCACATGTTAAACTCCTAATTGATAAAATCACCATTATTTTTTGCGATAAAATCAAAGTAATTTGTGTTTCCTTCTCTCTTTTAATATTTGATATAACTTTGTACTGAAACAGAGCTAGCTTAAATAATTATATTTGATCCATTGAACTGATTTTGTGCTCTTTTTTTTGGGGATAAAGCTTAAAAATTTAAGCCAGAAAATTTTAAGTCATATCCTAGAAACTGTTTTTCTCCTCCAATCCTTAGACCATCTCCAACCCTTGGCCTAAAACCGAAAATTTTTAGCCCAGAAATTGTAGGTTTTAACCAAAAAACAGTTTTTCGGCTCCAACCCTTCTAGCCTAAAATTTTAGCCTCAGATTACTAAAGAATGAATTTAGGCTATTTTTTTTAAATTAACTTAAAAAAAATTCTGTAGACCGTCTTAAATTATTTTTATGAACATTTTAACCTAAAAATATTTAAATTCCGATAAATATTGAAAAATTACTAAATCGATACATGGAACTCATGAAACACTATAGAAGAATATAAAAATCCTGATAGAGATGTATAAACACAAAATACATGAAACACACAAGATACACATAACACATATGAAGCACATACAAAACACATGATAGAGATGTATAACATACAAAACACATGAAACGCATGAAACATAAACCTACACACATGAAACGCAAACCTTTAATCATCCTCTATATAAGCATATGTTGAATATCTAACCATCACACAACATAGTCACCAATTTTCCAACTTTCAAAGTGTTTTTGTTTCCTCAAAAACATCAATATCTCATCAAAGGGTGATAGAAGTGTTGGTATATGGTCCAGCCTATGATCAATGTTCTAGATTATTTTAGTAAGTAAGTGATGTGGCTGGAGCATGCTAGACAATTCTAGCATGTTATTAAGTTGATAGAAGAAGCTAGAGAGTACTAGCTTCCTTGGTTGCAAATGGAAAGATCTAGAAGCTACAATTTTGTGGCTAGTCTAGAATTTTCTATGCTAGAGGTTTGAAGAATACACTAGAAACTAGTAGAATGCCAAACCCTCACCTATAAATATGGGTGTGATGTTGTAGTGATGTAACCAATTAAGAACCA